TGGCTTTTGAGAAGCAGGATTATTTCAAAGGTCAGTGAATTCTGTTATCAAACTCACTGCCAGACTAGCAGGCCTGACAGAATGTTGAGCTTAGTCTTAAGTCTGCACCATCGCAACATGCATGTTCTCCCCTCCCTCTCTCTCCTAGTTTCTTCTAACTTCTCTACCTCTTGAGGCTCCCACAGAAGAAGCTCAGTTAAAACCTAGTAATTCTTCCTAATTCACCTGGACCTTTAGCAGGGTCCTTTACTTCGTCCCTAGTCCTCAGAACACCCATGGGTTCCTTACTCTGATTTCATGCCAAATCCATTTAGTAAATGTGGTGTCCTCAACAGAAGATGCTCTGCTGCTCAGATAGTTCAGCCATCTCCCAGTTGCAGTCATACTGGTGCATACTAGAGCCTGCCTTTATTTCCCCCCTAAACTCTAGTCCCATACATTCAGCTGCCTATTGATTTTCTGTACTGATAGCCACTCATCATTTTCATAACCTCAAGCCTCAGAAGTTAATTCTCACGTCCTTTTTTTCCAGCATCTGTTTCTGCAAATGTGCCACCTTTCTACCTATTATATTAGAATCTTTATAACCCCAAGAGTTCACTAAACATCAACTCTAGGTCCCTCCCTAGTGGTGCAATGGATTGGAGCATAGCCCTGGGGAGCTAGCTGCAGCTGCTTGAGTGCACATTTGACCCCTGCCAGGGAGGTGACCCACATGGTGCAGCAGACCTATCCTGTCTCGCGCACTGTTCCCCTCAGCAGTGTACTTCATCAATCTGCCCATTCTGCTCCCCACTCTGTGGTGAATCTTCTCACCACCCCTGCACTTCTGGCCTGTACCACAGTTCTATATGTATAAGTAAATACATCTTTTAAAAAAATCAACTATCAACATATTTTTTACAGCATCTTCTCATGTGTGTTCCTCATCTCCATTTCTACCACCATCATCACCACCACCTTTGCTGTGATGCTTTCAGTATTTGAGTTTATATAATCAGTCTCTGTAGCGATCTTAATTCAAAGAGATGCAAAAAGAAAATGCTTTATTTTTTGCCTATTAATTAGAACTCTTTGGCTGTTCTTGCCCTAGATCTTGAAAACCTTTCAGGAATATCTTGTGGCTTTAAGTTGTTTTTTAGTTATGTGTCTTGCTTTAATAATTAAGATTCATGATCAAGTATTAAAAGTTCCTTCCCTTTCCAGCCGAATATTAGACTCACATCTAGTTCAGTGATTTGCAGTTTGATGGGCTCAGAGTCACCCTTTCTAGCCCCTTCCATTCAAATGTCTCCTCACAATGTTGCTATTTCACTGTCATCAGTGTTAGCCACAGATCCTCTGTGCAACAGATGACACTTTCTTGGACAAGTTTGTTTCCCTTGGGAGGTTCCTGGAGGGTCTCCACCTAATCTAGTTCCCTCTCCCAAGTGTTGTCTTCTATAACTGATCTCTTATGGTGCCCACAGAGCAGCTATTGGAAAACTTGAGTGTTACGCACAGGACTGACAAAAATGAACAAATGGAGTAAGTTCTGGCTAGAAAATAGACCTTCCGGCTTGAATCCCTTCATCTCAGACAGCTGACATCATGGTCCCTGTACCTTCGCGGACTCTCACCATCTTCAGAAGTATACTGCCAGTGGCCTGTAAGAAAGGCAGACCTTTGCCACTGCTGTGGCACTCCCATCTTGCCCTTCCGTTGCAGCTGTTCTGGCCAGTGCCTGACCATTGGGACTCTCTAAGTTGATTCCCATGTCTCACTTTTATTTACGTTCATCTTCCTCTCAGAACTCTTCCCATCTTCTTATCTATTCAAGTCCACATCTGCTTGTCCTATGAAACCCACATTGTTTAGTCTAGAAGACAGTGAGTGATGTTTGTGTTTTCATGATATTTGTGGCCTGAACTTCCCATGTAAGCACTTGATTTCATATTGCTATGTCATCGTCAACATGCCCAGAATATGGGCTTTGTCTTTTGATTTTTTTTTTCTAAATGTTATTTAATCATCCCAGTAGATAATGAAACACTCAACGACTTGTTTGGAGAGTAGAAAATTAATATTTTATCACATTACACATATGTTAAAAGAATCCTGGTCATTTTTGATAACCATAATCTGCAATAATATTGAAGAACTTGAGTGCTTTGTGAAAAAAATGAGCAAGTAGAGTAAGTTGGGAGTGGAAAGCTTGTATAAACATAATCAGTGAATCTGAGCTATTCAATCTATAGCAATTTTGATAGTACCTTAAGGTAGCTGAAGATTCTTTTTCCTTTGGCTCAAGCAAGAACATTTTAACAAAATGGTGATAAAACATTAGAATGAAATATTAAAGAACGTCAGTGGGAACTCTTAACTCTTCATAAAAATGTGGCATGACCTGTGTCATTTTAATAGTCACCTGCATAAAGTAGGTGATAAAAAATTATTTTTCCCACACGCCTTTCTATCTTCAATGTTGTTTTGCACTTCCTGAAGTTACAAGTGGAAGAGAGGTAGCATCCACAGCAGTAACCCACGGTACCCTCATAAATCTACAGATAATATGACGAACTGAAATAGCTGCAATTAAAATATCCCAAAAGTCAATGAGTCAGTGTGTCAACATGTGTGTAGACATGGTGGCTTTTTATCAGAAACTTCAAGAAGGTAGTTCAAAATGTATCCCCTAATACTCTGGAAGCTGAATAACTCTTATCATTCATTTATGAACAAACGTACCCCAACAAGGTCCATTCAGCATGACCTGCAACATTTAATGACCTGATCTATAGCAAGAAGCTTCAGCTAGTTTCCCCAATATTTAATATTCATCACTTTGGCTCAAGCTTTTCCTTCTATTTTACTCTTAAATATCAAAATGATGCAGTGGCATCAATTTTTCAGTGATGTCTTATAATTTAAATCAGCATCCAAAAGATTTTGCATTGTTCATCTTTGTAATGAGAAATGGATAGTTGTTAAAGCTCCATCTATTCTTTGATCATCTGTTGTGTCTGAGTCAGCCTCAAAAGCACTATAGATGGCCTCACTTCAGTTACACTGTGCAAGAAAGTCATGCCATGCTACATGGTGATTTTCACACCGTATTGGTTCACCATCTTTTGTGGATAAGTCAGAGCCTTGAGTGTCACTTAAACGTAGTCTTGTCTAAAGTTGATTATGCAATGAATACAAAAAAGGTACAAAATGTGGGATTAATTTTGAGAATTGGATAAAGGTCTTAGAATAATAATAATGATGACCATACCAGTCACCTATGAAACTCTTCGTTCATAGGTGACATTAATTTCCTATCTACAGAGTCTGATTAGTGAATGTGGTATGTTTGTACCTCTGAAGAAACTGAAATAATCATTTTCTCCTTTTTTAAGCAGTCTATTAAAATGTCAAGGTTTATCTTGACTGCTGCTTTTTAATGTAAATGTTTGGACTTAATTGAATTCCTAGTATGAAGTGTCACTTGGAATTCTGATAGGGTCTAGTATTTGGCTGTTAAGATATAATTCTCCTTAAGATGAAAGTCATAACAATAACATTATTATACATAATAGCAGAAAAGTGGTCAATATAAATTTTTATGAGAGTTTTATTGTAAGATCTTTAACAAAGTATTGGAACTAAGTTCACCTGTGTTTGCTTCCCTCCAAACACTTATTATAATGTTTAATATGTGAAAATACCCTGTAACTATTTGTGATTGGCTAATTATCATGATTGGATATTCTAGAATTATAAAAATAGATTGAATCATACATGCCAGAGATTAACCCTACTTTTTAAAAAATAATAACTTTTTTTTTACATTTTCTAATGTTTTGAAAGTAGTAGACTTTCTTTGACAAGCTGAATTGAAAGAACATGTGATGTCCAAATCTCTGATGCTTTAACTACTCCCTACATATAGGGTTCGTTAAAAAAATACAAAAGATTGGAGGGGCCTATCACCCAGGCCTCAGCAATTTGGCACATGTGCAGAATTAGAATCTGTGACACTGACCTTAGAGTTAACTCACTTTATTCAAGATTGAGTCCTCTGTGAACACGTTTATGTTATGATCTGCATTATAGCAGGTGAAATATTAATAAATTACTGAAGTGCAGTAAAGTTTTAGTCAGATGTTATGCTCTCCTTGTCCATCCCAACAAAGTGTACTATGTTTAGAATGAAATTGTTGTTCAATTTTTGACAATCAAGCATCTTTAAGAATATTGTGCTGTAAAGATATTAGGTATGGGAATCTCCAGTTCCTACATTTTCTACCACTCAATGTATATGACCATGGTATTTAAATAACTTTTAGAGGATGAAATCAATATGTAAGTAAAAAATCAAGCTATATCAAAATATAATTGAAGAAGGCTTATCAATTTCATCATTATGTATAACATCTTGATCCTCCAAGATCATTATAAAAGTCAATACATAAGTTAACCACATACCCTAAATTTTACCCTATTTACCAAATCATAGTACTTGAGTCTCATTTTTACATGTCGAGCTAACAGTTTCTGTTGATTTTTTCTGATTCATAGTGATACCATATTAGCACAGTGATAGCACAGTGATACCAGCTTCTTAGCTCTGAAATGTGAAGAGGGAGACCATTCGACTCTCATCATGTGTTATTCTTTCAAAAGATTAAATAGTATTGACTGACTTTCAAAACATTGTATGGTAGTATAATGTAACATGTAGTCATATATACTACCCATATATATGTATGTGTGCAATATATATATACAGTATATATACCACATGTATGGATGTATGTATGTGGGTGTACATGTAAGCATGTGCGTATATATACATGTATATTTCTATATATGTGTATGTATGTATGTATGCTTTTGCTGAAGCTTTTTAATTAGAAAGCTGATGAAGGAAACCTTCCTTTTGACAAATCTGGAAGTAATTGTAAAGTAGATGAGGCTGATAGCAGCAGTGTTAACTGCCATCTTTTCAAGAGTATTGATTATTCTCTCTTTTGCAGGTCCCCTCTCATTGATTGGATGTCTCCAGGGAACCCAAATGGCATCATTCTGGGATATGATCTCTTTTGGAAAACATGGTGTCCATGCCCCAAAACCCAGAAGTTAATGAGGGACAGTGGTGGTGAGCTCTGCCAAGTAGTGACAAGTCAAAAGCTTGAGACTGTTTATGGACACAGGTGCTATTCTCCTGAAACTAAGGTAAAGCTTTTCAAACTAGTCAATGAAATACATTTTTCTGACTACACATTCCATATGGAATCACTTGCTGCTTAAACCACAGTTTATCATAATCAATACTTCCACTAGTCTATCAAGAAGACCCCATGGGGGGAAAAAAGGTTGCTTATCAAAATTTTATCAACCACATGAGCATTTTGGCCTCCTCATTTTTCATCATCTTCCTAGGAAATAGTAATTTACTGGATTGATAAGGGACCTTCCAAATTTGTATTTAATCAAGTGGCCTGGATTTTGTTTATAACAAATCCATTCGGCTACAAGTGGGTGTTTGTTTACATGACACTGAAGAGAAACTGAATAGTGCCTTTCATGGTTTGTCAGAAATATTTTTAAATTATGGCTATTTGCAGATTAATGTTCATATTAGTTGCAGTTTAGGAATCAGATCAATACTACAGCCAGACGGGGGAGTTTGTAAATGGCTTTTATTGACAAACGATGCAGAAAATCCTTAGTTTGAAAGTAGGGTTTCATATAATGAAATAATGTACCTATTTGTCAACAACATCACACATTTAATGACTAACACTACTAAATTCAAAAGATTCACTGCAAAAAGACATGGTAATTAAGAAAGTGAGTTGTTGAAGCAGTATGGATCAACTACAAATTATTATGGCTGACACTGACTTAGCAGTAGTTATCATGTAAGAAATGTCATAAAACTGGGAGTTACTAACCATACATTTTTTTGACACATAGAGTCCATAATTGTCATTATGCCTATGTTTTACATCATTTTAGACCATTAAATATGCACTGTCCTATGAACATATTTTCAAAAAATGAAGTTAAATTTCTGTGAAGAAAAATGCTGGGACAAATTTGCCTATTAAGAATGGTCTCCAGGGCCCTCCCTAGAGGCGCAGCAGGTTAAAGCATAGCACAGGGAAGCTTAAAGCACTTCCGCATGAGTTCTATCCCCGCCTGCCCGGGAGGTGACCACATGGCGCGGCAGACCTCTCCTGACCAGCCCGCTGCTCCCCTCAGCCATGTACTTCGTCGATCTGCCTGTTCTGCACCCCACTTTGTCTCTGGTGAATCCTCTCACCCTCCACATCTCTAGCCTGTACCCCAGTTCTGTACGAATAAATCAATAAATCTTTAAAAAAAAGAAAGAAAGAAAGAAAGAATGTTCTCCAGGAGAAAGGAAATAAGCTTTGATTACCTTACACTGAGTCTTGGTTTCATTTTAAGGATTAAAGACATACTCTACTATTATCAGTGAGAAATACAAAGTTAACTAAAATCTCAAGAATAAAAGTTACTTGTAAATTTCTGTTTGTATTAAATAAATACACTTCCTAGAGCTTAGAAAGATGTAGCAAAGCCTAAAATCCTCTTGACTGGATCACTATAAACATCAAAAGGATCCAGAATACTCATGTAACCTTTACTAAGGGACTTGCAAACATAGTGAGCATCAAACCAGCAGTTAGCACAAGTCCCACCTCCAGGGACTATGACCAAGTAAGTCTGCTGTGGGGCATGAAAATTTGCACTTCTGCGGTATGACTACCTTAGAAGACCCTGATTCTGGTCCAGGGATCAGATTTTGAGAATCATCATTTGTGAAATTACTTTTGGAAACCAAAATGTAAGAAGAAATCATGAAATCAGTTACATAGACTTTCAAGGTACTAAAACTTCCACTTTTTTTTCCTGAGACAAATTGAAGACTGAATCTGAAAATGAAGATATTCTATTTACAGGGACACCTCCCAAGAGAAATAATTGCTTGACAACGCCCCCATGGGTACCCATCAGTGCACTGATCCAGAGTGGGTTAAAAGGAAGGCTGGCAGGTCCCGAGAATGGCATTGTCAGTGAGAGCTAGGAAGTGAGTGGTCCCATCGTGCAATATTGAATCATCATTTCCAAATAGAATAATAAGTACGAGAGACATTTCCTGAAAGACAAAACCCAGCATGCTTTCTAAAAACATACAGTATGTGAATGTACTTCACAGACAAATGCTTTAAGATGATCCCACCAAGGCAAAAGTTGAAGTCACTGTCATAAAGCGAATGTGTTTTTTCAGCCTAAAAGCAAAAATGAGCAGCAGCATTCTTAAATCCCAGACATACACATGAAAATGTGTTCTACTTAACTCTTAAAAATAGGCCATAATTTAAAAGTTTGCTTTTCACACAAAACATGACATCAAAGGGAGAGGTGTCAGCCTATATCCTTGCAATTAGATTCACTTCGAATCTTTGTTGCTATTAGTTAATAGCATCAACGCAGCAGAAGAAATCCATTGCAAATGGTTTAGTGACGCTATGCGAAGAATCACAGGGATCAGCTTTCTTGTTAAGAGACCAATGGCTTGGGACTTCAATAACTTGAGACATGAATGAGATACTAAGTTAGTGACCTTTTGCAGCCTTCCAGAACACCACATTCTACTTGAATTTGATTGATATGTTGGTATAGACTGGCAGTAACAATTAGCAAAAAGGAAAAAGGGAACTGCTTTTAGTTAGTGGGTGATTTTACCCACCACAGGAAGCAGCCTTCCAACTTAAGCAGAGTCTAGGTTCTGAGGCTATATTTCAGCCACTAGTTCCTGATTGGTTTGTTACATATACAAAGTGTTAGTCTCTCAGACCTCAGGTAAGCCTGCAAATAATTATTTGGTTTTTCAAGCACATAATTTCTTCTACAGTTCCTATAGAAAGCACACTGTTCAAAGGGCTTTTCAAAATAAATTCCCATATAATTTTAATAATTTATATACCTATATATGATGTCAATGAAATTAGGTTCATAAATAAGTAAATAAATGATCATATACATTATAAGGAAAATGCAATTTATTCCAAAAAAAATAAGGAGAGGCAGGTTTTCATAGATATGGTGTTTTCAGATTGAAGAGTCAATAAAAATAAAAACATGTACATGAAAGAAATTGTTCATATCATTACAATTATAAATCACTATTACATAGGAAACACATTCATATTTATAGTGTTGTAGAATAGAGCAGAAAGTGTGGTTAAAGGCTAAAAAGAAGCTATATCAAATTACATTTATATAATTTGTATGTTGCAGGAAAACCATGCTTATGAAACTTTGAATTTTTATCAAGAATGCTATATTTGGTCTTGGATCAAGGCCTTATCATAAAATAATTATATGATATGACAAATGATGATATAATACTTTTTTCCAATTTCACAGTGAATAATTGACTTACGTCTTTGTAAGTTTAACACATACAGCATCATGGTTCAGTTGTGAAATGGTTACCACAATAGATCAGCTAACATCCACCTTTTGTTATAGATACAAAAAAATAAAAAAGAAGAAGAAGAAAAAAAAGGAAATGATCTTCTCCTTGCAATGAGAGTTCTAAGGATTTACTCTCAGCTATTTTCCTGTATATGAGATGTCAGTGTTAACTATAATTATTATTTTGTACATTCATTCCTAGTTTTTGTTACTCTAGTAATTGGAAGTTTGAGTCTTTTCACCACTTCTCCAGTTCTCCTTCTCCCTATCCTCTGGTAACAATAGGTCTGATCTCTTTTTCTGTTTTTAGATTTTTCTTTTACTTTTTTGTATTCCACATACAACTAAAGATGCACTTTCTGTCTTTCTCTGTCTTACATATTTCACACAGTATTTGCTGCAGCTTCTTTATTTTCACTCATCAGTGGACACAGTGGCTGTTTCTTTGTCTTGGCTTTTGTAGAAAATGCTACTATGAAAATGGGGGTACAGATAGCTTCTGAGTTAGTATTTTCACTTCCTTTGAAAGTGAATAGCTCAACCATATGAAAGTTCTATTTTTAAGTTTTTGAGGCTTCTCAGTAGTATTTTCCATAGAGGTCATGCCAATTTACAACCCCACCAGCCATACCTGGCACATCCATGCCAGCAATTGTTACTTTTGTTTGTTTTTCCATCATTGTACTTTTATTTTGCATTTCCCTAAATGATGATGAGCGTCATCATTTCATGTAACTGTTATTCATTCATGTGTCTTCTTGGGAGATGGGATTTGATTCTGTTTATTAAGCTTCTGTTTCATTAAACCAATTCTCAACTTTCAGGTTTGTTGTAATGGAATGCTCTATGATCCCCAGTCTGGATACCACTGTTGTGAAGACAAGTGTATCCCATTTCTTTCCAATTCAACTGAAAGTGTTTGTGGTGGCAGAATTGAAGAAGCATGGCCAACCCATCACTGTGGCTCTGAGTATCATGTTAGAAACCTACCAGGTAAGGATTGCCTCCACCTGTATTCAATAATCGTGGGAGTCAGGGGCAGCAAATATATGTCTCCTGTAAATTACTATTTCAAGTCCCCGTCCCCCCCCCAAAAAAAAAAAAGAACCTCTAATGAATAGCCAGCTTTAATTATCATTTCTTTTTTCAGCTTTATTGGAATTTAAACAGGCTGGGTACAAAATAGAGATTAAATGCAAGGGATTTGTGATATCTTGTTACATAAGGAAATATATCTGGATGTCTGCATAACCCACTTTATCTTATTCACATGACTAACATTTTCATTGTGAATTTTGTATCTAAGTATTTCCATCCAAGAAACTGTTCTCCATTTCTTCAGTTTCTATCCTGAATGGATTATAGCCACAAATTCCATTTATCTGAGATTAGTCCTCTGTTGGAATCCACTGATTGCTGTTAGGTCCAGGCAGAAGGACACAGAAAAGAATAGCAAATAGAAACTTTCTCTCCTCATCTTTATTTTCCTTGTGTCAGCCAACTAAACACGCCATTTTCCCATTTCCGCCACATACAACACTATCCAAGGACAATGAGGATAATAACTACTGGTATTTATGAAACACCAAGTTCCTGGCAGGGTACATATTAAAGACTTCGCTTATATTACCTTATACATCTTCATCTCTGTAGAGGTGGGTGTTTTAAGTTTACAGATCAGGAAATAGGCTTAGAGAGGATGGCAACAATGTACTCAGATGAACATAAATGGGAAGCAAGAGAGCTGAATTGCAAATTTCAGTGTATCTCTCCAAAACCCCTGTTCCCAGTACCTATGGCTGCTTACATAACTAAAACATGTTCACATCATTTTTATAGTTTTAAAAATTCCATTTATTTTTATTTGTTGTTATTAAAATGTTATTTCATACTCTTAGCCAATGTTTTGTTAATATAGGATTTCCGCCAGCAAGTTATTATCACAACCAAAGCACTCATGGTCCTCCACCATGTATCATTGTGTTCCACCCCCATTCCGCCCTCCAAAAAAAGGCTTAAGATCTATGATCAGTGTTCAAGGGTGGGTTTAAAGTTTGTCTTTGTCTGACCTTTTGATTTCCCTGTGTCCCCTCTATAAGTGATACTGCCTGATATTTATTTTTCTCTTGACTTATTTCACTGAGTATAAGACCTCTCAGCTCCATCCATGTTGCCCCAAATGGCATGGTTTACCTTTTTTATGAATGAGTAGTATTCCATTGTGGATATATACTACACCTTCTTGATCCACTCATCTTTAGTATTAAGTATGGCTGCTACTAATAGTGCTGCTATATACATAGGAATACAGGTTTCCTTTCAAATTAATGTTTTTAAATTTGGGGAATAGATACCTAAGAGTAGTATTGCTGGATCATATGGTAGATCCTATATATTGCTTTCCGTAGCAGCTGGATGAATCTATATTCCCACCACCAATGTAATAGAGTGCCTTTTTCTCCATATCATTGCCTACACTTGTTTCCGGTCTTGGATTATCCCACACTTCTATGCTTCTTCATCACTACCACTTCCTATTACTCCTGTTCCTGGAAAAGTTTTGAGAATACTGATTTTTTTTTTCCCTACCACTTGACTTTAATGTTTGTGACTATTTTAAAAGTACAGAATAAGGATATGTGAGAAAAGGGGGAAAAAATTACATAAGTGCCTTAAGAAAGCTGATGCTTTGAGATAATTAGTTTACCAAGAAATCTGTGCCAAACATCTAGTTAACTCAGCAGTTGTTTAGTGCATATTTGGGGTTGGTATGTGAAATAAGAAATGGCTTCACTCTATGTATCTTTTGCAAAACACTTGGCAGAAAAGGAAGGTGAAATAATAAATGCTGTAAGTTTATTCAAGGTGGAAATCCTTTATTTTTATTTTTCCTAATTTTTCCTTAAAATTAATAGAAAAAATCTTGTCTTTATAACAGGAGTGTGCTTTTGTAATTCTCACACAAAAATACTTTCACCATTGAGTAACTCTTACTCAGCTTGATTTTCCACATAAGAAAAAACATGATGATAGAAAATAAGTATTTTGTAGAAGTGTTGACTTTTTGTACAAGAAATTAGAGTGTTAGCAACCTAGCAACTCATCAAACACTTAAAGGTTTACCCTCAAATAATTTATTTACACTTAGGCGTTTTCAATTGTATTTCATCTCTTCCTACCCCTGCAAAAAAACATTCCTTCAGAAATAATAACTTCATAGATGAAATTTCTGTCGTTGCAGTCTTACTGATACTGGGTGGCAGGGTACCCTAAACTGACTAACGCCCTGCTTCCGAAATACTTCACCAAATACTGTCTGGGCTCTTCACCTGCACGCACAACTGCAAGACTGTTCAGGCTCAGGAAACAACAGCAAAAGGATTTATTTAACCAACAGGAAAAACAAGGGTTACTGAAGCCAATAATGGCCATTTTTTACTCAAAGTCTTATCCAGTACTCTCCTGCAGGAAGACTGCTATGATGGCTTCTTCCCACCACTGAGGATGTGCAGGTCCTCTACCAAACAATAGGCCGCATGTCTAAGATGGCCTCTTCCCGCCTCTGCCCACCTGAGGCACACTGCAGCCAGACTCCAGGCCAGGTTCCAACTCACAAACACAACAGAAGACACAACAGGAGACGTTCCTGGAACTGCAGGATGCTCCAGCACAGAACCAGACTAGTGACACTCAGGACAGCAGCCACTGTGACTAAATGACCAGACAAACAGCCTAAAGTGTGCAGATAAGCCAGCCTGTACCACAGGAAAAAACAGGAAATCTTCCAGATGCTGGGCTACTTGCAAAGCCTCTTCCTCTCCAAGGCTGGCTACTGAAGACCTCCTTCACTAGTCCACAATAGCCTTCTGCAGGGTCAACCCAGCCCTGGATTGAAATCCACTGGCCCCCAAAATGCTGAAGGAACTCAAGACTTCAATCCTGAAGACCCAACAAAGCAACAACCTCCTTTTTCTACCTCATCCCTTCTGCCTGCTGTTTCACTTCTCTTTCATCTCCAATGTAGCCCCTCCTTGAGATCCCATAATTTGAAGCATTTCCCCAGAGGTTATTTGTCTTTACCAGCAACCCCTTGGGGTAGAGGGAGGGAGGTAGGGAGGCACCTTCTGAAACAGTCCTTGGCCTCAGTTCCAAGCTACTTTACTATTCTTCACAACAGGCCATACTAGACTTTCTCTAACTTGAACCATGTAATAATTTCTTAATCTCTAAACTTCTTTAAAATGTTTGATGTTATGATTTGCAATGACATGTTTAAACTCAGAAAAATATGCTCCACCCCTTAAAATTAATGAAAAGACTTGGCTGCATCTAACATAGCTATTAACCTTCAGAAAATTTTGTCTGTAACAGGCAATGATAACACAAAGTGTCAGATTTTGATCTTAGCAAACAGTCTACTTTCAAATAAAATTTTATATTTTTGCCTTAAATAAAAGAGAGTGAGAGAGATATCAAGGTAGAAACCAAAGTATACAAAACTTTTTACTAAGTAGCTCTTACAACAAAAGTTGTTAACCCTCCCTGACTTCCATATTTAAACTACATAACTCAGGCCTCAAGCATTTTAATATCTACCACCCAACTGTTGAACTTCAATTCCTTTGAAGTTGTTCATTGTAAAGTTTTATAATGTCTCCCATGTAGTCAGGGCAAAAATGCCATATCATGGGATAATCTAAGAGAGTATTTTGCTAATCATTCATCGCCAAGCACCTAGGTGAAGGGTTTATGTTGCAACAGCTGGCTTCAGCCCCCTGGTCTTTGTTAGCAAACTTAACACTGTTTATACGAAGAAAGCATAGTAACCCCATACCATCTTCTGTCAAATGTAATTAACATTCAATAGTTGTGGTCCAGTGTACCACTGGAGTATAAGCAAGTGGATATTTATAGGGAGGTCTGAAATACTGGTTAATAATATTTATTTTTTCTCAGAACTTCCTAGCACCCCAAACAAAGAGCTGCTGAGAAAAGAATGCTCATTCCATCCCCCTTTCTATATGAATATGCTAATGACCTCAAGCTAAATGTTAATGCAGGTCATTCTTTGATAAGAATAACAATTAACTGTTAAGACTGCACGGTAGCTTTTAGAGAGAAAACATTTTCAAGCCTGTCTGAAATAGATTCATTTTAAGAGGTTAATGAGTAGGTGACTGATCCTTGTATCTTGTGTCTAATAGCCCTTTTTTGAGGGAAAAAATCAGTTTTACTTCTCGTTGATATAATCCACGTCCTTTTTAATGGAGCCTTTTCTTCTGTCAGCAACTGAATGAGATTCTGAGAGATTCAGGGAAATATGCTAAAATATCTAAACCAATTAACATTTGTGATACACAAAAGTGGCTTTCTCAAAAAAATGGTTAGTTTTCCCCCTATAAAGGTAACCACTATTTTCCTCAAAGTTAATGGTTGTTCTAAATGACATTTAGTTAACGGAATTTGCCCCTGGAACATAGGACACATGATGTTGAGAGGGACAGATACCAGGTGGGTAAGGCTTGGGAAAGGCTGAGAAACAGGACAGTGATTTTAAACAATATTGGAACAGAATAAACAAAACATCTCCCAGAAAAATTGTATTGGTAAAATGCTGCTGAACTAGTCACTACCTCAAGTAGGATCTGGTTACAGGACAGTTAGGAAACAGGAAACTTCCTGACCACCTAGTCTGTCAAATTAACAACAGAAGTCTGACAGTATATATCAAAGACAGGGCAGAATAAACAGGCTCCCTCCTTGTACCCCCACCTAATGTCAGGAGTTCTTTCCTCTTGCTTCTATAAATCCACACTTGCTTGCTGTCACCTTTGGCATGGTGGCTGTTATTCCTCAACCATTGTACACACCCAGACCCACAAGCATCCATTCTCCTAACAATGTTAAAAAAAAAAGTTTGCTAATGAGAAACACTGTGTTCTCTAACTGTGGAGATTTAAGAAATAAATACGGCAAGTGCATTTCAGAACAAA